AAGGAATTTGTGCCATTATAATTAATAAAAGCAAAATAAGCTTTCAATTTGTTTATTGAATCATTAAATTTTAACTTGACAAAAAAGGGGCACTAAAAGATATAGTGTATATATTGCTTGTTTGTTATACAATTTTAGACAACATTGAAAAAATTAACTTAATTTATAATATGTGTAAATAAAATAAGAAGTTTATTAGTTTATCATCCATATTACATTATTTTGATAAAGTATAAAAGGAGGTTAGAGAGTGCATCAATTAGACCGGGCCAAGCTGGGCTAGACCACAGGCGGGTCTTGTCTGGTCATGTCGTGGGTGGACCGAGGGTTTCAAATTCTAAGTTCAAATCCTACCCAACTTTAGAAAAAGTCGGATTAAACAGGCCTAACTATCAGGCTGGGCCTGACTTTGGCCCACCAAGTCTCAGGCTACCCATTTCAGCCCACAGGCCGTGAGTGGACTGAGAGTTCCAAATCCTAAGCACAAGTCTTACCTAACCTTAAAGCGGGCTAGGTCAAACAGACCTAACCATCAGGCCGAGTCGAACTTTGGTCCATCGGGCTACCAGTGCCAAATGTTGATTCCTATCTCCAATAAAATGTAGCAATGTGTTACACATTTTCAACAATATCGATGCGCTTTAAAAAAGACCAAGCATCATTGAAGTCCTCATGCATCACTTAAACAAAGCATGCTTTTTATTCCAGAATAGCCCAAAACAGAGCAGTCTTTTTCCGTACGATTTGATGGGCTAGAAAAGTTTGATGGTCCTAAAATAAAATTTGGATAAGACTTGGAAGCCAGAGGCCCATAGCCAACGTAGTTGGATTTTGTGGAAGGCTTGGAAGCCCAAGTACACGAGCCAGCTGATCCCTTTTGTGACTGTTCTTGATTTATTTTGATCACCAATAATAGCAAATCGATCTCATTCAGTTTTATGTCATCGCCAATCAAATTTGAAGTCGTCTGCATATTATATTCAGTAAGCACAACATGATCATGACATTGAGCAAAGTTTGGCAGATGATGAGCAACCAATCTCCATATAAAATCAATGTCAAATCCATAAACATAATATTTCAATTGGCCTAACATATCCCAGATTACAAAATTCGCATTTTCTGCATAAAAATGAATCCATCAGGACATATCATGACAGATGGTATCTGAATAGTCCCATGTCAGGGTGATCAAAGCATGAAATAGTTTCTGTCAACACCCGGGTAATGGATTTTTTTTCCCTTAATCCGAAAGCCTAAGGTAAAGTTAAAATCGCGTTTAACTTACGTGCAACGAGTCAAGTATTTTTCTTATTTTATAACAGCAAATGAATGAGAACTGCGTGCTTCCTGAAGCACCAACATTGACTAGTCTCTCTTTCCCATTAAGAGAATATGAATAAACTTTATTGGTCAGTCAGACGAAGTCAAGCTTTCTAAAGGCTCTTTTTATCCATCTTTCAAATGCTCAACGTACCCCCGCACTGGTTTAGTTTCTCTCCTCTCCTCTGCTAGCTTAGCTTTTGGACCCTTTGGCTGCTCTGCTCTGGTGGTTGAATTTGAGGCCAGAGTAGTAGACTAGTGTTTTTGAGTGTTTGGCCATGGGAAGAGCTCCATGCTGTGACAAATCTAAAGTGAAAAGAGGACCGTGGTCCCCAGAAGAAGACACCACCCTCAAGAACTACCTCCACAACCATGGCACCGGTGGCAATTGGATTTCTCTCCCTACCAAAGCAGGTACTCTAATTTCAAATGATCACTCACTAATTATTACTTCTTAATTGTTCTCGGAGAAGTTGGTTAGTTCATGCAAAACAGTTAGTATTACTTTTTTCTTCATGGTGGTTAAATGAAATGAAATTTAATTATGTGTTGAATTAAGGCCTCAACCGTTGCGGTAAGAGTTGTCGATTGAGATGGCTGAATTATCTTAGGCCAGACATCAAGCGTGGAGGTTTTACTGAGGAGGAAGACAACCTTATTTGCACTCTCTACGGCACCATTGGAAGTAGGCAAGTCCAATATTATTTATAAACATATCTTGTGTATCTGAACTGTTTAATTTTGTACCATTTGTGAAGTTCTATTTGTGTGTGATTAATTAGGTGGTCTGTTATAGCATCCCAACTCCCAGGAAGAACAGACAATGATGTCAAAAACTATTGGAATACCAAGTTGAAGAAAAAATTCTTCGCAGCAAATAACATGAATTTGGCTTCAAGAGAGTTTCCGGCTTCAGTTCCCAAATTTGAATTTGGAACCTCTCAGGATCATGGGACTTCATCATCTTGTTTTGATGGTACATTGCCATATCTAATGGATGTGAGCTTGGGGCAGAGTTTTGATCAACAAAAGCAAATAAGTCAATTTCCTCATTCAAATTTTCTGGAAGTTAATGATTTTGGCACTTGTGGAAGTAAGAGTTTCACCAATATTTCATCATCTCAAGAAGCTTCAAGTCTTCCCACTTCATCTATTTTGGGTTTGGAGAACAATTACACCCTGTGGTCTGGCTATGAAAGTGGGGCTCTTACGGACTACGGATTTGAGCCTCCTGCTGATGCTCTTCTGGGTAACTTTGGTTATTAGGCAAATATTTAAATATACTTATGAATTTGCTCTATGTATTATGCATATAAAAACTCTCTCCTTACCTACATGTTAACAGCAGGCTATGAACTCAAGATGGCAAGGCAAAGCCTCTCTATCAAATTCACAAACTAACACGTATGAAAATCAAAATACTAGGGTTTTGGTTCTGTTAAGAACAACCAAACTTGGATGATTATGGAATTATGCACGCAGTTTATCGACTAATCAAGCCGGTGTTTAGCGTTGTTTTGTATTAATGTTTGTGGTAACTTTGGCTGAGGGCCCTAATTTGCTGTTGTAAACCTATTTTGTTTGCCTAATTGTGCAAGTGAAAATATTCAGTTATATTGTGAGGTAATATGTAGTCAGCAATAATTTGTTTGCTTCTGACTAGTCAGAGGTCACAATAGTTGCATTGTGCTGCATAGTCAAAGTGAAGAAAATGTCTACATCTGACAATGACCATCTCTCTCTCTCTCTCTCTCTCTCTCTCTCTTGTGGGTTTCTTGTTTTGTTTTGTTTTCATTTGAATGAGCTTAGAATAAGGTTACAAAGAACACATAGTCAAAAGCCATAAATGTTATTCATGGATGGATAGTCAATTTGAATGAAAATTCAAGGAGTGAGAAGTGCAAAATGGTTTTAGTCTTTGGTAAACAGCAATTACCATTATCTTTAAGAACATGGCAAAGACTATTACTTGAAAAGGTGATGACCAAAATGGGTGTGCCTTCTCTTTTCTTTTGGCTGGAAGTGGAGAAATAGAGCATGCCTCAGATTAAGAATATTAATATAAAGTGTGGCCCTTGTGAACTTCATCATATCCTTTATTATACTTGTTCTCTGAATCTGCCCTTCTTGACCTCTTTTCATTCAACTCTACCATCATATTTTTTTCTTGTCTATTAAAGACTTCTTTGGTTGGTGAGGCATGTCACATATTATGCCTTCCCCTATTCAACATGCAAAGTCTCATTGCAAGACTCTTGCTAAGCTAATAAACTTTTAGGATGAGTTGATTGATGGTGAATACAATTCAAATGGGTGCTAAGAAAAGCTGGTCCTTTGTCTTTGTATATTGTAGTAAAACATCATTACAATAATCTAATCAAATTAACAAAGAATTGTGAAGGAAGCAGCATAGGGCAACCCATGGTGGCTCTAGGTTGGGAGGTGGAAGCTATCTAAACTAAGAGACCAACTTGGTCAAGTCAACATCTTTGCTAGTCAAGGAATTTCAAATTCACATGTGCTGTTTCTTTTAAGAATTATCTTTGTTTACAAGTAATTTCTCCAATCTTCAATGATATACATTTGATTTTACTCTGAGAAATATCAAGCCTCTCCTCCTCACAAGCTACCTAGCAAATGGTCCTGTCATGGACTCTGCATTTGTGGAATCTTAAGCAACTATGGGCAAGTAAGTGCATGAACATTGATAGCTAACAATAAGGAGAAGAGAATTACCTTGCTTCTAAGGGTCTGAGAACAAAAGATTAAAGTTTCTAGATTGCCAGTTGCGTCATGAATCAAGTTATCAGAAACCGAATAGAAAATAAGCACATTGATGTTCAGAAAACCCAAAACGGTATAACAACAGATTTTACTCAATAGGGAAAAACTCAGAAGACCCATAAAAACAAAAAACTTGAAAAAGAATCACAGGCAAATACCGACAATGCATCAAAACGAATCATTCATATATAGCCATGAATTGACAGATTTTACACCCGATGCACTACCTTGTATGCATTCATGTTTTTTTTCTTTCTAGAATTTGGTTTAGTGGTGGCAGTACGTACATTCTATAGTTTTTGGGTTTATATTACAGAGAAATCCAGAAGTTTAAAGAATATATCATTTTAATTCGTATAGCCGTACGGCTATACTCTTTAAATATAATATTTTAACCGTATAGCGGAGCAGCGCTAAATGGAATATTTTACCAGTATCGCCGCGCGGCTATACTCTTTAAATAGTGTATTTTACCCGTATAGCCGCGTGGCTCTACGCTTTAAATACATAGAATTTTAAGCATATAGCCGCTCGGCTCTACTATTAAAGATATAGCCGCACGGCTATACTTATTAATTATTTTAAAGGTATAGCCGAACGGCTATACCGCATAAATAGAATATTTTAAACAGTATAGCCGAACGGCGATACCCTTTAAATGCATACGCATATTTAAAGAGTATAGCCGCGCGGCGATACTTACCAGTATTCCTATTACGTGTTTCTTCCGTTTTTGGTTTTTTTCCTTTCTCTTGTTTGCAAAACGCACTTGTTAATCTACGCATTCTAGACTAGTTGTGCTGATCATCAATGGAAAATTTCTGCTCACGGTAGAGAGTGAGAGAGAGAGAGAGAGGCATGGCTTCAACTTCAGAACCAGAAAACTTGTGTGCCAAATCATAAAACTCAAAAATTAATCACAAACTTGGCTATGTACATAAACGAAATTCAAAAATTAAGTATAGACTTTGTTGTATATTTTTCTCAACCTGCAAGGCTGCAAATATCAAGCCTCATCACTAGCTACCTAGGAAATGGTCCTGTCATGGACTCTGCATTTGTGGAATCTGTGTACAGGGAAAACACTTCAGTTGAACTAGTACTAGAATACGGTGCAAATCTAACACGAAGTTCTTCTGTCGAGCCTGGCTTTTTTTCTCGATGCCTAGACAATTCCATTTCCAGACAATGTTTTAGCTCCGACAATACAAAATCCATTGTGGCTCTGTGTTGGGAGGTGGAAGTTGTGCATGCCATTGCTACCTCTAAGGCTTTCCAGATCGAATTCACATCGTAACCTTCTTGCATCCTCGGATCTACAACACTTGTTATATCCCCTCGTTGGAGCTCAGGATTCACCCACTCTACAATGTGGACATGCTCATCACTTTTTATGATTGCAGGCTGGCCTGTAATGAGCTCTAGTAGAACTACCCCAAAACTATATACATCACTTTTTTCATTCAATCTTTGACAATTGTAGTACCTGAGCACAAATCATAAATCAGTCACTCCTCTTATATCTGTGTTTTGCCATAATTGAATTTGACGTTGAAACTTGAAACTAATTTGCTTCTGCAGTTCTTTTTTACATCATATTCTCACATGATTAAAATGCTAAGAGAATAATAAAATGTAAAAACATACTCTGGATCAAGATACCCTGCAGTGCCCATGACTGTTGTCACTACATCAGGCTCATTGTCACTGGGAAAAACCTTGGAAAGACCAAAATCTGCAATTTTAGCTTCCAAATTTTCACTTAAGAGAATGTTGGCAGTCTTTACATCTCTATGTACAATAGGTGGCTTGCATCCATGATGCAAGTACTCCAGCCCTGAGAGACATATTTCACTATCTACATTAGTTGAACCGTAATATAATAAATATTGTCATACCAGAATATATATTTAAGAATCTTTTGTAGGAAATTGGAAAATCACATGCACAGAATGCTGGTGTAGGAAAGCTGTTCTAAGTTTTAAGAGAGGTTCATATTTTGGGTTGAGTACCAGGAAGCACCAACCTTGCGCAGCATCTATTGCTATGTGAAGCCTCATTTCCCAAGTCATACGTGTGCTCCTATCTGAATCTGCAACCATTAATGTGACATTTAAATATCTTGAAATGCTCAAGCTCATGTCGAAGGACAATGCTTTGATGAAGGATTACCTGAGAGACAGCCTCTAAGGTTTCCATTAGGCATGTACTCGTATATAAGTGCTAAGTTGTCTGCATCATCACAGTATCCAACAAATGAGGCCAAGTTTCTATGATGGATTCTCATCAGGAGCTCAGCCTGCAGTCAACAAGGGACTCATCAAATCTATAACAAATGAGCATAGGCCTTTGTCTTTCATTCTAGTTTCACTCATCCCTCATATGCAAGACTTTTATTCCACATCCAATGAATTTCAAGGCATTCTAACTGACAAACCTCTGTTTGGAACTCCCTAGGTCCTTGAGATGATGACGGGGAAAGCATTTTGACTGCAACTTGGGTGCCATCTTTCATGTAGCCATGGTACACAATCCCAAATCCTCCCTTCCCGATTGCAGTTTGAAAGTTTTTGGTAATTTCTAAAACCTCTTCATGAGTAAATTGGCATTTCTTTGATGCTATAGTTCTTCCTGTTTTGTTAAAGTTTTCTCCTTCTGTATCTAAGTACACAAAATAATGATTTCAGATTCCGACTGTTAAAAGAAGGAACTTTTCATGATTTAAAATGATAATTTCAGAAGTTATTTCTTCCATTAATTTAAAAGGTACCTGCTTTTCTTTTTCTTCTCAATTTCCATACTACTATCACCACTATAAGGAGGACTAGTGCTGATAATAACGATGCAACTATTGGAACAACAATTTTCTTCTTCTTTTTGCATGAATCCGAACCACAAAGATTTTGGCCATCCACACTGAAATGCAGAAGATACACAATTATCATACTTCTCTGCATAATGCATAACATGAACCATTTCTGTTATTTTTTAAACTAAAAGAAGCTTACAAAACCAGATAAACAAGAAGCAAGTTTTCCGGGTTGAGATGAGGAGGTGTACCTCAGTTCAAGTAGTCCAGCTCCTGATCTCTCCAGAAGAGCGTTTGGAACGGAACCAGACAATTGATTGCCTTTCAAGTTCCTGCATGACAATTCTTAATAATGGAATGCTGGCATCACAATGAATCTATCATCATGTAGTAATTACACTTACAGGATCTTGAGAGACTTTAGTTCTTCCAGGAACTGAGGCACTGGTCCAGTCAAGTTATTGTTCGACAAATCTCTGGGACAAAGCATGTAAAGTTAAGTTAGTATGTTCTGTATGATATTAAAGTGGATAGCTTTAACAAGATGAGCCTTTATGCAAGCATAAAATAACAATAATTACAAGGACTCCAATGATGAGAGCTTGGCAATGGAAGCAGCTATGATCCCACTCAAGTTGCTTGAGTTCAAGTTCCTAGTGACAATAAAAGGCAAATCTGTTTAGAAATGGATTACAAAGGAGAAGAAAATTGTATTAATTCTAGTTCCCCAGAAGGACTTACAGCGAAGTAATCCGAGGAAGTGAAAGGCTGTAGTTGCATTTTAGACCTTCCCAAGAGAAATTCTTAGGTCCACAAGGATCGCCAGCCCAGATTTTTTTTATTTGATATGTAGTTTTGACATTCGTTATGGCCTCAACTGAGATCAAACAAGACCGGTGTGAAGCTAAGCATTTCTTTCTGAGCAAGATACAAATTTCAATGCAGTAAACTTCAACAAAAGAAAACATACCATCTTCACTAAAAGTAGGTGATTCAACCAGCAGCATGACTTTGAAAACCTCAATAGCATTGAGAATGGGTGGAAGGGTAGAGTTTTCTGCCTTGTATATAGAAATTTGGTGATCTTTTCCCACCAGAGCTCTTGAATTTGATATTATGTCTGCTTGTAAGTAACGCGGCACGACAGGTCCAAACAATGGAGTTCCATTCCAAGATATATTGAACTTTCTTGACTGGTTTCTCGCAAGATGCTCTACCTCAGCAAAGTACATATAAATATAAAATTGATCATCCATACCAGTTGTGTTCCAGTACAAGTTTAAAGGTTCACTTCCATTTTGAGGTCTAGCTGCAGTCTTGATTACTTCAAACGGTGCTCTATATCCGTTCTCATAGGTATTAATTGGTAAAGAAGTGCTAACTGTATCCCAAGAAGGTGAAACATAAGGGGACCAAATTCGATCGAAAACATCATCTCCATATCGACCTGTTCCATTGCTCGATCCAATGTCCAGCCTTTTAAAGAGTACTAATGATGCAGAGGTCCCATACTCAGTACCATAAGTTGAGCTGTTGAGCGGTCTAAATTCCAATGCTGAAATGAAAGGAGTTCCTAAACCTTTGTTTACTAGACAAATATGCATGCTATCAGATTGTGCAAAACCTATAATCTCCTTTGTAACAATTTCAGAAGCATTTCCAAATCTCACTGTCGACCAGAAGTTGACATCAAGATATAGATCAAACTCAGGTAGCTTGTTTTCTCCATTGTAGTTTCCATATAAAAAGGAAGCTCTAATCAAATTCAAGCTGCCTTTTCCCGCTTCGGGTCTCAAAGTGTAGCAATTTTTGTTTCCTAGAGGAAAACTCCTGAGGTCTGAGAGAGGGAGGGGTAGGTTGGGATTCTTTGGATACATATACTCAGAGGAGATGTTCTGGTTTATCCCTGTATCTGTGTAATCTCCATCTGGTGAATATGTTATGTTGGTGTCTGTGTCTTCGTAGGGCTTCGAGGGAGAGCCACAGTCAATGCTTATGAAGTCTAAATGAAAACAGATAAGTGAAGATAAATCAGAATGAAAGAGCTGTTTCTGATTGTTAACACAAAAGAACAAAACAGCCCAATTTACGACCTAAAATCCCAGATTGATGAATTATATCTACCCTTATAAAAGATGCCACAGAATCATAATGGTCTTTATTAGTAGGAAAAGTTCTTCTCCTACCAAGAAAGGGAGCAATAGGCCAAGAACACAAGCAACTAGTACTTAAAGATACAGCCTTTTACAAGAAACTATGTTTAGAGCTAAAACAAGAAGTTATAAGTAGATATGTAAAATGAACCAGACAGACACAAATATCATTTGCTTCTAAAGAAAAAACTAACCTATCCGGCGCTGCGCATGAACTAAACTTGCACAGAGCAACAGGAGGAAGAACCCAGTTGACATTTTCATCTCTCTCTCTCTCTCTCTCTTGGATCCTATGAATCTGATACTAAAAATGAATGACAGTTTTTGTACCAGAAAAGCAAAGAAAAAAATAAAAATGACAGTGTGGATTGGAACCTAATGCTGCAAAACCTGCTACATGTACTTATTTTCCTTATTTTCTAAAATGAGAGAACATGTTGGCCACGTGAGCATCTTTGCTGGTCAATGCATATATATTGATTTCACATTCTGTGTGCTCAAGACCCTCTGCCAAATTAGTCAGACCAAATCCTTTTCATCCATTTTCAATCCAAGCCACCAAGTTTTAAACATGTGGGATGAGGATGACAGAGATTTGCGTCACCAGACCACAGTTTAAATATAAAAATTTATACCCACCCACCTGATAGTTTTGGAAATTTGTAGGTGCATTATTCATATGTTTTATTGTTCCTTTTTTTCAACTTGAACTGTACCAGCAATCAATGATTAATTTAATTAGCATGAAAGCCAAAATCTTCGTGCCGACAAGCAGAGCAGAAAGATACTGAGAAACGCAACCATAAGTTCAAAGTCTAAAAAGGCATAACAAAGGAAGACCCTAAAACCTTAATAATATTGCTCAACTTGCTTATAATATTGAACTAGTAGGCATTAGTATATCAGCATGCATAAAATAGTCACATATTGCAGCTGCTGGCAGCTCTATCTTTTGTGGCTTTGTCCCAGACCTTTTTTTAAAAAATTATTTAGTTTGTGTGTAATGGGATGATAAAAAATGGAATTGGAGAGGGCCATAGCCGAGATCGATCTTGGCCATTTGGTAAGAATCCAACGGTTTTAAGGTCACTATTTACAAAAATGACAAGTTGTTTTATGTTAAGAAACTCTTTAGTGAAATGGAGCATGCATACGCTTTCTTCTTACAATCATCTCATCACATGAGTAACACGTGATACGTTGATACGAGAAAGAAAACTTACATGATATTCCATTTCAAAATTTTATTTCATGACTCATTCATAATTGCATTGATCCAACAGTCATGATTTGAGGTTTAGATTTAGATTTTAGATTTTTTGAGGAGGAGATATGGTTTTGACCATCATTTTTCCATTCCATACTTGAAAAAAAAAAATCCCTTTTTCATCCGTATGAGTAAGTTGTTCTTCACATTCAAACGACACGTCGTTTGACCAAACGCAAATGCGAAGTATAAAAGGACATGTCGGTAATTTGAGCATAAGCTGCTGAGTGCCGCAGTCTGCAGTGGATATAAAGAATTCCCGCCAATCTTGACGCTTCATTTCAGTAGCTTCCTCAGCAATTAGTCTTCTCAGCTCGCCTCAATGGTAAATCGCTCTCTCTCTCTGGACCCTAATTTTTCTTTAATTTCATTTGTATTTCTAGCTCACTCGTTAGCTATGGTATCAGATCTCTCAAGTTTCAAATCCTAGCTTATTGCTCCGTTTGGTTACTGAGAAAATGCGCGAATGAACAAGATTCAATATAGTTTTTAATCTTAAGTTCAAATTAATTGCTCGAATTAATTATTTGTGTCGTATAGAAACGAAGTGTGTTAGTATTTTGAATTTCTTGCGATTTCTCTTCTCTCAATTTTTTTTTCTTTTTGTTTTTTGTTGGCGATGTTTTGATTTGTGTACAGTCGAAGAAGAGAGGTCTTTCGTTGGATGAGAAGCGCGAGAAGATGCTTCAAATCTTTTACGACTCTCAAGATTTCTTCCTTGTGAGTATTATCACGCCCTGACGCTATAATTTTAATGAATTCATTCAATTTTTTATAATTTTATTTTGCGAACCCTATTCTAATTGATTTCAATTGAGTTCTGTATTTTCAAATGTGGTTAATCTCTTTGTCATTGTGAACAATGTCAATGGTTTCAGCTTATATTGTACTTCTACAGCACTGTTCATATGTTTATTGGTGATTTCAGCTAAAGGAGCTTGAGAAGTCAGGCCCAAAGAAAGGTGTTATTTCTCAGTCTGTGAAAGATGTGATCCAAAGTTTAGTGGATGATGACCTTGTTTTCAAAGACAAGATAGGAACCTCTGTAAGTAGATGTTTCCACATACAGCTTTGCATAGTGGATGATGATCAATCTGTGAAAGATGTGATCCAAAATGCTTGTTTTTATTGGCATTTTGTAACGTTTGTTATTTTAAAATTTCAGGTATATTTTTGGAGTCTTCCTAGCACTGCTGGAAACCAGGTGATCCTTTGATGGTTTGCATTATAAGCTCAGTTCTACAGGGTAGGATTTGTGCTGAAATTCCTACGAGTAGATTCGTGCTGATATTGTTTTGGTCTTTGGCAGCTTAGGAATGTGAATAGCAGACTTGAATCTGATCTCAAAAGCAGTAAGAAGCGTCATGCAGAACTTGTTGAACTGTGTAATGCCCTGAAGAAGGGACGTGAGGATTCTGTGAGTGTTTCGAACTTTTATCTCTTTCAAAGGCTTGAACTGTTTTCTACTTTGTAAGAATGTTATTATGCATCTGAAGCTCATGTTTTTACCAGGATGAACGAGATGAGGCCTTAGCTGATCTAAAAGCCATAGAGCTAAAGTATAATGAGCTGAAGGTTGGAGTCTATATATCCTGCACATTTGTGATGCATTAGAGTTTGAAACAACTTAAATGAATTATTTGATCGAGTTGCTAACTGCAGTCCATTGCCATTTTCAGGATGAGATGGCGCAGTATGCAGACAATGATCCAGCTGCCTTCGAAGCAATGAGTTAATTGATGCTTCAATCATAGTAGAATGATGCCCTTTTAACACCTTAGAACTCAAATAAGTTAACTGACCATATTATAATTCTGTTGGCAGAGAAAGCAATTGAAGTTGCCCATACAGCAGCTAATCGATGGACAGGTTTTATCTTAATCCATTTGTTTCTTGTTTGGAGGGTGGGGTGTGTTTCTAAATCAAGAGAATGGGAACTCTTAATAACTGTGGTTTAATAACTGTGGTTTAATTACTGCAGACAACATTTTCACAGTGCGTCAGTGGTGTTCAAATAACTTTCCGCAGGCCAAAGAGCAGCTTGAGAACTTGTACAACGAGGTAAATTAGAATTAATTGAGAGCAAGCCCAGGTTTTTATTATTTTGAACTCATGAGCTTGCTACGCTGAGGTTGTCGTTTGTCATGTCAGCTGAAAGAACATGCTCAATTTGAATCTGGCCCATCTAGCTTCCCAATTTCTCTCTTTCCTTTGATAATTGTCTTTCTAATTTCAAATGCAGATTGGAATAACAGAGGATTTTGACTATATAGAGATGACACCAGCTCCACTGAGCTCAGTTATTGATTAGATCCTGAAAGACACCGCATGGTAAATACAGTATGGCTTGTAATTCCTTAGATTTCAATTGTCAATCACCACTATGGCTTGTATCGAACAAGGAAATGTTGTTTCCTTTAGCTTTATGAATCATAATGGTACTAAGAACACAGGTTGATATGCTACTTAATGACATGATGCAGGGGTTCAATCTAACATGTTTGTTTACTTAAACCAGGCTTTGTGTCATTAGGTCAAGATTTCCTGGTCTCCTTGATTAATGGGACGAATCAATTTTGTGTTTCCTTGAACAGATTATTGGGCTTCAGCCTGACTCTTCCTTAACCAGACCAGCTTAGTCTGGAAGCTCGGGCCGACCCATTAATTTGGATAAAACACATTTCATCATCAAAATACTGTGACGTGATTAGTAGTTGATTAATGAATAATTGTCGAATAAATTTTGCACAAGGACAGGTGGATCAAATACTTTAAATATAAGTCACCTGATTTTCATCATGTTTACGACAATTAATAGAACAACATTCGAACCTTTCATTGTCAATATAAAATCAACAAGAGGAAGGAAGGTTCAAATTTGTTTATATCCCAACGCACCGCCTTGCCTTGCCTTGAATTGCCAAGTTGGATGTGTGTCAGTTACCTTGAAGTGTGATGTGTCCAGAAAAGACTAAAGAACACACCAACGGCTCAATCATCTACTAGACTTTTGAAATTTAGCCAGAAAATTCAAAAATAATAGAAAGAGAATATGAGTGGATTGATGATATGATTGCATGTGGGAGGGGGGTCCCACAGTTACACAGCTCGACAACAATGCCCGGAGTTCTAACGTGCAACTGATCTCGGGCGTACGCGTGGCACCATCGAGAGCATATAATTTGGGGTAGGAGGCTAAGAGCCATTGAAATGAATCATATGGTTAGTTAGCAGCAATTATAAGCCAGAGTGGCCGTTTTTATAATTTTTTTTTTTTTTTGGGTGTAAAAGATTCTCCTCGTCCCACCGTCGTTTTAGGCTTTTGGGTTGGTCCTTCCTGTTGTGTGTCTTTGTATTCCTCTTTCATTCAAAGTCTTTTGCTCTCTTTCTATATAAATCTGGGACTGAAGAGGTACAAAGCCACCCTCATTTGGCTGAAAACTTTGTATTGGAGTTGGAGAAGAGACCCATTGGGGCATACCATAGTGGGGGGCAGAGAGAGAGAGAAAGAGCCGTGTTTGGGAAGTGGGAAATTTTTTTACAGCTTGTAGAAAATGGAGATGTTGAAAGTTCAATTTTTTGTGATGGCAATTTGTGCCCTTGTTATCTCTCTGCTTCTCCCCTCCATCAATGCTCAAACCCTTGCACCTACCCCTGCCCCTACAAGTGATGGTATGTTTCTCTCTCTCTAGAAATCATGTTGTTGTGATTTGAGTTCAGATTGTGCGTGTTGAATGTTGATGATTGTGTTTGGGTATGCAGGGGTAGCAGTGGACCAAGGAATTGCTTATGTGCTGATGGTATTGGCTCTGCTCCTCACCTACATCATCCATTAGAGACCCCATTTTTGGAGAAAGATGAAATTTAGAGAAGAGAAAAATTCAAGAAAAATTGTGAAGTGAAATTGTTGCATCATTATCATGTTAGGCTTTGCTTGCTAGCCTATGTTGCTCTTGTTGCTAATTTTTTGTTACCATTTTTATCAAATCCCCTATTCTTTTTTCCATTTCAAGATTCATTCATTTCCATATCCTCTCTCTGTTCACATTATGTTTATCTCTCTCTCTCTCTCTCTCTCTCTCTAGTAAACGTTAAAATCACTGAAGTGAATTGGAGGGCAATTAGAACCTCAAAACAGTTGTAAACCAAAATCTAATACCTACTTTTAGCAGTATTAATATTGTTTATGGCACTAAAAAGGAACGACGTGGGCAATGGGCATCCTCTTTCTTTTTTGTCAATACAGAAAAAAGTTGTGGAATCGAGACCCCACCAAACCAGACAACGTGTTTACCACTTCGCTTTATAGAGAGACTGTTGTCTGGTTGTGGACCAAAGTTTTTTACATGCGCAACCTTGTTTTAAGAAGCATGCCAGTGCCAGTGCCAGGGCCACTGGTTGGGGTGTGGAGAAGCATTTGCACTTGCATTTCTCTCGGCTTCAACGGTTTACAATCCATCCCCTTTTTGTTTTGTTGGGTTAGATTGGCCTAATCCATCCCTAAACCCTAAACCCTAGAACAAAAAACCTACGTCGACCTTCCCTGGGTTTGGAAAACTACAAAATCTCTTATCCTCAAGAATCATATAGATCTATACCCTTTTTGTTTTGTTGGATCTTAGAAAATAATAAAATAATTCAAATTGAATGGTGGACAGGTTTAATATTGTTTTTTTTCAGTACAAAGGAGGGTCAATGAGGAGAGCATTTGAACTCTACCCTTGGCATGAGTGAAAAATCAATAAAGCTACAAGCCCCATGTATTAATATTTGTTACTAGAAGTTTTGTTGGGTCACCAAGTGTAGGAAATTAACCATGAAACAACAATAGAGACAACGTTCAACGATGATGATGTATTTGAGCAGTAGCATTTTCATTGATGGCCAACATGAAGAGACTAGTTCTAAGTATAGTCTTTTCTTGGTTGAAAGAGAACCCGAAGGTGTAACCTTTACACAATTACGTGGTATTACGAATTCATGTGTTTTAAAACATATAATAAATGACACGCTTCATGTTTGAAGACTAAAATTTCTCCCATGTTCGAATCCCTCTTTATCAATGATTAAAAAGACACCTAAACACAGGAGAGATGGTGAAATTTACGCATCATTTCCTTCCTGTCATTGCCTTGGGTCAACAGCCGATAGATTAAGCAAAATACTGACCAAGTCCAATGGAGTGGAGGCGATACCAAGAAGACAGAAGAGCTTCATAGTATAGGCTCCAAGATCATTTCATATTATTCACTTGGTAATATCACATAATAGAACAAGCTACTGATTCAGGCCTGACAGAACATTGAATAAGTGTTCAAAGATAAGTTAAAAAGAAAAAGAAACGAAAGAGAAAACTCTGAAAAAGCAGAATACAAGTTTCAAAGGGGACTGTTTGATTTATGCCACCTTTATATACATTCTGTTTAATAATGAAGCCACACAGAAATCTGGATGCTTGATCGGAGCACAAATCTCCATTATAAAATCAGACCAATCCTTTACATAACCTCCTTTCATCCTGCAGAATAATACCTGCAACATTATAACAAATAAAATCAACTCTTAACTCAAATACAAAACAATGAAACTGCACATAAGTTCATTTCACTAAAACCCTCAGAAAGAATTCCATTTAATGTACTTCATTATACTAAAATGATAAAAGAAGGCACAATTTGTGAAACAAACAACTGCAATTTTGTCTTTAATGATATTACAATAATCATACTGAAACTGATCAACGGACCTGCTCAAAGTGCCATCTCAGCCTGCAAAGCAGCCAATTCATCTTCTTCAGCAGTGCGCTTCTGGGGAATAGGACGGGTTGGTTGCCTTCCTGCTGGGGCTTGCACTGGAGCAGCAGGAGCTGTTGTTGCTGGCTGAAGAAGTTGTTCTTCCAACTCAGCGCCTTCCAGCTCTTCAAGTTCTGCTTCCAGTTCATCCTGCAGATTAAAAATGTCCAAACCACTAAGCAGCTGTATATGCTAGTTGAAAACATAGCATTTAGAAAACCAATCATATTGGGATAAGGAAAGGAAAAGACAATACAAACCTCATCAAAATCAGCAGCTGCACCAATTGGAGATGACAACGCTTCCTGTATCTGTTTCATGTTCTCTGTCTGCTCATTAATCTCATCCATGGTCTTGTCCACATCATCTATGTTCCTGTATAAAAGGGCACCCATTTCAATTATGTCAGGAAAACCCATAATTGAATTAATAAGATGTGATGTGACATCCAAGAAATGAAGATGAAACATAAAAAAGTAAAGCATATTATTAAAAAAAAAAATTCTCGGGAAAGTGCAAATATGCCTAATACAACAATAAATGCTACATACGTTGCTTTCTGCATTGCCTTCATTGCAGCTGCTCCAGTTCTCAAGGCATCTACAGTTTCGGTTGTGGCTTTTGCTCCTTCTAGCATTATCATCTGCAACATCAACATGTGCCACATCAATACAGCAAAATCCCATTCATCAAAACCAAAAAATCCAAAAAAAGATAAAATTATTGACAATATTTGAAACACTATTTAAAGGATCAAGAAATATAGTTCCAATTCCAACGTCACCTGATCATGGATACGCAACTGGAAATTTCCAAGCTGTTCTATTTGTTGTTCATATAACCTCTTCCTCTTTAAACATTGTATAGCCGCTGCAAAAAAAACAAGCATAAGTTACAACTCAACCACAGAATTAGAATTTCAAAGACATGGACAACACATCTTTGGTTTTAGATTCAAATCATATAAGGGTCTTATAAACTCTTTATGATTTCCAACTTATAAGCAAAATCTAGACAGGTTTGACAATCATCATTCGTATATTTGACCAACTTTAAGGAGTATAAAATGTATTGGTATACACACTGAGTCTCCAGTCCTAACCAATTCAATTGGTGCTGAAAGCAGTGGTGAGGAATAAAGAAACCTTCAGGTTAAGTTCCTTACTTAGATTAAGTTACCGTAGAAAAACAGCTTGATAAGCATTAGATGGCAATAATACAAGGCACACTCATGTATACATAATCAAGGTGCAAAATGTAAACTAATGGATAAACGGATGTGAACATAAGCCCTCTCTCAAAGAAAAAAGTTAATAAATTCCTTAAAAATTATTCAAGAATTAGATTATCACCATCCGAATTCTCCATAAGAATGAAAACATTTTGCAAACATACCCCTTTTGTTCTTTGCTCTGGTGAATTCCTTGGCCCTTTCAACTTCTGCAGCAGCCTTTTTCTGTAGTACTTTTTCCTTTTTCTCTAGCATTTCAAGTGTCTGTACAACACAGAGAGAGATTGATTGAGGAAATAATCAACTGCTGAAGAGGAACAAAAATAGGTGTAAACACAACCAGAAACAAAGTTCATCCAGATAATTAACATTTCCGTCAACTGAATAGGTGTTATCATCATCACTACCGAGATTAATGGCCTTTGTTGCAATACAAGCCAAGATATCAACTTGAAAATCAGAACTTCATTTCATATGTGGAAAAACAGCTTCAGAAAGCAATCAAATTGCATCAACCAACTCAAAGAAAAAATAAAGAACTACATAATTGAAGAGTTCCTCATGTCCCATCAGCCTCTCATTCTAAACTATTCACAAATCCATAGAGAATCATCCACATGCTGGCACACACAGACACACACCGTAATACTTACAGACTTCCAAAACCAAATCAAACTAACAAAGCTACGAACGAATCACACAAATTTAAATACTTTGAGAAAAATTATCAATACGAATGAATAAAAATCGATGAATAAATCGGCCATTTTACCTCATTTAATTTGTCTAAGGTGGTCAGGGCATTGCCTTCCTGTTTAGGTTTCCCAAAAAGCCTGGTAAACATGGTTGATTCTCTGCAATTATCGAACCCTCTCGATCTTCTGCATAATAAAAAAAACGTCAACGCGATGAAATCGATCAAAACCCTAATTCCAAAATCTGTTTCCCCAGCCCCGCCAAATCAAGATCGAAAATTTTCACCACAAAGAAACGTCACAACATTTATTGGAAACAGCGATGTAAAGATAGATGCATGGGTAATTGGGTACATATGCGTACCTTGAAATTGACGCTAGATTTTGAGGAAGAAGGATCGGATTGGGAAAATTAGGGTTTCGAAGGAGAAGAAGGAAGAGGACCGTGTAATGGCCGTGGCTTTGCCGATCCCGATTGGGGATTTCTTAGGCGTGTTGGTTTGCGTTAGAAGAAGGAGAAGCGAAGCTGCTTTGCCTTTTTCTGAGTTTCGTCTACGTCGTTGAATGGAGTTATTGTTTTCCACGTGGCGCACTTGATTGGTTTGTGGGGGGTCCAGTGAAGGTCTAACGGACGGCTGGATGTATCTTAACCTTTCGGATGGGTGAAACGATGTCGTTTGGGTTTGGTGGTTGGTTTCTACAAGTCAATGATTGGTCATTGGAGCTTGCTCACTTCTGATAGTGGTAGTAGTACTAGTACTAGTAATGCAGTAGAAGATAGAAATGTTTGTGACTGGGTAAGAATTTGATTAATTCTCCTTTTTACTATAGCAGTTAAAAAAATTCATGTAAATGACTTATTTACTTACACTTTTGTTCTTTCCCTTTAACCATTGAGCTTTTACCGTTTCCCTTTTTTTATTTATTTAAAAAAAGTGAAAATATTTTACAACACCACTCTTTTTTTCTTAGACAAAGCTCTTAAATGCAAGGCCCTCCTTGGGCCTGGGCCCCGAGGGCGACAACTTAGGGCGTTCGATTAAGAGGGCTAAGGATGTTGATTTTCTCATTCATCATTTGTCCACTTATACTCCATTTTGTTATTTTAATACTTTTTACTATAACATACAAGGACGTGTAAGTGAACAAAAAATGCGTGAGAAAATCAACTCCCATATATAATTGATCAAGTCCATATTAAATGAATTTGTTGAGAGTTTAAAAATACAAGGGCCCAAATAACAATCACTTCAAATCTTTAATAATATAAGAGCCCACATACATTATGCTAAACTTTGAATTTTGATTCTCA